GAAATATCAAGTATCATGTATCATATTACTACAGATATTATTTCATACCGTGTTTCCACCAACATGTAACTTCTCCAATGTTGTATTGACCACCAATGCTTCTGTTAGTACTTTCATTCCTTCATTCCTAATTCCACAGTTCCTTGCATGAAGGGCTCTTATACGGCAGGTTGGAGACTAGAAGAAATAAAATATCGGTAAGAGTAACTATCAAACACAACAAATCCCATTTATGTGACATTTTACCACGAAATCTATACAAAGTAACCGGAAAACAGAATTGTATTTTTTTATTTTGAGTTACACAATTAAATCAGCTTTCCTATTCTACAATGCACACAGTTAGAGGAAAGCCTCTCATAATGTACCATTGGTATCATTATCCCTCCTTATAATCCCTCAAGAAGGGATTTAGATCATTGCCAATACCTGTATGTTCAAATTTTACTTATCAGCTTTTTCGGCATTGTGCTACTTCGTCTAGGTTCCGGAGGAACAGGTCACAAACTGTGAATGATTTCAATTTAATATAACAAAATAGTATATCCACTTTTGTATGCTGCAAACTTCTCATCTAAATCTAACAGCACTCATTAGTGTGCATTTGTGAGAGGTACAAGTAACGGATACCCGCAGACCTGCCAACCAAACCTAACCCTAAAATGCAAACAACAAAAAGGAGGGAAAGTTGTGAAAACTTTCAATTCAAATTGTTAATACTATCAGAAGATGTTCTTCCACTTTGCTTATAAAAGTGTGACCTGTTTTTTCACTGTATCTCCAAGTAACCTGTTTGATACGTGAATATTTCCCAGCAAAAGCCCTTAAACAACTTTACGTTTCACTGCCTAAAACATTACTAGGATATTTGCAAGCTGGCTACATATGCCTACCTACAATTTGCACCTGATTCCTGGCAATAATGATTAGGTACTTGGGTTCCCAGATACAACCCTAATACCCAGTAACAAACCACAGGAATGTACCTTTAAAACATCCATGAGTTTAGAAGCAAAGACTTCACCATCTTTCATCTGGTTGTGACTGATATCCAATTCCTCTAGCATATCATTCTGGCACAAATTATCCAACAATATGTCCAGATCTGATAGGCCACAACTTGATGCCCTAATGACAGAAAACAGCACAATGATCAGCA